GATTCCATAAATTCACTTGACATCTTCTTAAAATTCATGAGTGACTATCCTTAAATTCATAAATGACTGCATAAATTCAGAAAACTATCTATATTAGTTCACAAATATAAAAAATTTAATAAATTTGTTCGACGCCTTTTTAGTCTAGATTTAATTTGATGGGTGAAAGAGCATTGTTATCCATGTACTTTCCTTCAAGGACTATTGGGCACCTTGTACCATTAAGTAGGGCATTTCTACCCTGTACAATATTAGTTAGGTGTAAATTTCCCCTTTTATCAATCAATCGTGATCTCTTTCATTTTTTTCTTATCCGGATGGTTTGTGAGGGCCCCTTCTAGTAATACTTAGGCATTTCAACCACAATTTGACCAATGCTACCATGAGCATCTTCTTCATTCTTTGTTCACTATTTCACCAAGTAGCCTTAGCTTTTCCTTCATCGTATCTCTCAAACTTATTACTCTCCTCTTTTCCTTTGTTGGATAAGGCTAGCACCCAAGAGGATGGTGAATTGTGTGTTTGAAAATATTTACAAAGTTTTTCCCAACCTAGAAAGATAAAGAACACATTAATGCCCCGTTTGGTATGTTGGAAATGGAGACATGGAAATGAAAATGGAATTGTAATTCACATTTTTTTTTTGTTTAGCATACATGAAATGGATTTCCATGTGAAAATGAAATCCATCAAAATAGGTTGAACTGAATTCCATAATAAGACCCATGAAAATGAGATGGGTTCCATGGAAGTAAATTTTTTTGACAAAAATAACCTCAGTTACGAAATTATTTGACAGATTTGCCCCTTCATCAATCATTGAAGTAAATCAAAAGTTTTTTAGTAAATATGCATATATTAAATAAAAAAGTATATCATAATTTAAAAAAATAGATAGGGTTATTTTAGTAAATTGATTATATAAGTGCATATATTAAATAAAAATATATCATAATTAAAAAAATTGATAGGGTTATTTTAGTAAATTGATTATATAGATGCACTTATTAAATAAAAAAGTATATCATTATTAAAAAAATTAGATAGGGGTATTTTAGTAAATTTATTATATAAATGCATATATTAATTAAAAAATATATCATAATTAAAAAAATTGACAGGGGTATTTTAGTAAATTGATTATATAAGTGCATATTTTAAATAAAAATATATCATAGTTAAAGTAAATTGATTATATAAATGCATATATTAATTAAAAAATATATCATAATTTAAAAATAGATAGGGGTATTTTAGTAAATTGATTATATAAGTGTATATTTTAAATAAAAATATATCATAATTAAAAAAATTGACAGGGGTATTTTAAATTGATTATATAGATGCACATATTAAATAAAAAAGTATATCATAATTAAAAAAATTGACAGGGGTATTTTAGTATATTGATTATATAAATGCATATATTAAATAAAAAGTATATCATAATTCTATGTACACACCAAACATACTTTTAAAATTCACTTCCAATTTCATTTCCATATCCATATTCATTTCTATTTCCATCAAAAACATTTTCAGGATACCAAACAAGGCATAAATGTAGAAGGTTTGACCGATAAAGAGTTTGAGGAAAGAAGAAGCCTTATACAAGAGATTTATCTTGGTTCAACCAACCATTTAGTTTATATCTAGCCTGTAAGATTACCTTTGAGATTTATTACTAAATTACAAGCTTAATTAGGTGCTTGCAACCATAGTACAACTCATAAGATTACACTGCTCTTGATTTCATAACAACAGCTACTATACTAGTAAGCTGTTACAGTCACTATTCTTTCTAAGATTTCAAATCAATAAAGAAAATCTTTTAACAACAATAACTAAAAAACAGTAAATGTAATAACAATGAAAATTTACAAAACCTTTGAGAGCTTTTTCATAAAGTTGATAAAATGTGTTGCCTACTCACTCAATTAATGCTTAACGAATGTATTACTTACTTACTCAAATGAGGTCCTTGATATAGTTTAGATTGTTTAAGACCAGTAGGAACACTTAGGAAGATGATTATAGACGTTGAAGATTTGGAGAAGTGTAGATAACCACAAAAAACCACTCTTTTTGCATTGAGCATTAATGCTTATTGGAGGCTAATTCAAGTGTGATTTGGATGAGTGTCACACATAGAATGGAACTAAAGCATATAAGGCTTTGATTCACTTTAGATAAATCAAGCGTGAGGCTATATGTTGTTCAAGCATGTTTTGAAAGGTAGAAGCACCAAACTTCTTTGGAGGACAAAACATGCATGGGTACCCTAAAAGACTAAGTGTGGAATGGAATATAGGGCTTCTTAGTTGGCTAAAATGTTCTTGACTCACTAAGTCCTAACATGCACAAAGGAATAGCCAAAACATGTGTGGACCTAAACTAGATCAAGCATGGATTGGAAAATAAAACATGGGTGCATTCTAAGAGTTTGATACTTAAGTGCAATAGACTTGTGAGCCTAAGATAGATATATGATGCATTCTTATCATTTTCAAAACATATGATTGCTCTCATTAGTTTTCACAATTAAATCTAGAGAAGACTAAAATAATAAACCTATAGACTAAGTCTTTTCTTAATCTTCATTCTATAGGAGGTTTTGTCACTTTGTTAATATATATGATTTGCACAAGTAAACAACCTCATTTCTCTTGGTTTTGTTAATAATCAAACATATGGTTTAACATCCTTTTCCTTCTTCTTCCTTTATTAAGAACAATATCCTTCAAGTGGTTGATGTAATAGTAATTAAAAGCATAGTAAGCACATAATCCACAGTTTGCCCAAAAAGAAAAGATGATAGCTAGAAACCAGTGATTTTTTATTCCTCAGTTATCAAGCACGAGCTCAATATGCCACAAATCTCTTATGGCAAATTGAGCATACTGAGCTCAATAGTGCTACAAAGGAAGCTTTTAGGATTTTCAAGGAGGCATGTTGAGCATACTTCTTCCTTGTCATCAATGACGATATCAATCCCAAGTTGTTCAGTGATGCTCCACTCCTTTACCTAGGCGAACTCTCACCTCTCAAAATCATGTGATGATATTCATGCATTAATTCATAGCACGCTAGCATTCACTATGCAAACATGCACAACAACATCATTGTACCCATTTCATAGATGGTAATCAAATCAAGATACACAAGTTAATCATTGAACTTCTCTTTATTCATTGAACTCCTTACACATAGTTTTCATTGAACTCCTTAGTAATGTGCATATTCATTGAACTTCTTATAGTACACACAATCATACAACTCCATTCACACATAGTCATTGAACTCCTTTAATACATAGTTCATTATATCCTATTACAATTCACCTTATTAAACTCCAAATAACACAAGTCATTGAACTCCATATTTTTAGAATCATTGTACCTTATACATTCACAATTATTGAACTTCATAATTTTAAAATCATTGAACTTCATTAGACAACCACCTCATAGAGAGTTTTTCAAACAAAATATGCCACATTTTCATTAATAAATCTCACATAATTCAATTATCAAATATTAATCAATAAACTAATTAACATACAAAAGTACAAGATAGAATTCCCTCAATTATCTCAAACCCTTAAGAGGTCAAAGGTTTCACCTCTCAATTACTCACTCTCTAAGCTTCTAAGAAGCTTGAATGGTGCCAATAAGGTTGCTCTATAAGCATTCACAATATGATTTATCAATATCCATAGTTGAGCTAATTTTCACTATTAACTTAACACTTTTTCATGCTTAAGATTCATTCTATACTCATATAAAAATACCTATAAAGTTTCTTAACTTCCTTTATGTAACACTTGCCCCGAATGTTATCCAAAAATCACATAATTCAAATAAATTAAGTGTGGTTAAGGAGTTGATCCTTTAACTAACTTAAGAAATAAATCATTTAAAACCTAAAAAAAATATAGGTTCTACCTATAGCGCACGAAAGCAAGCTAGACAAAAATAGAATAAAAAGATGCTGTCATGACAGCAATTGACAACCCTCCCGGGCCAAATTCCAGGAGGCGCCATTCCGCCATCCGACCTCTGATTGAAGTGATTTTAAACCTCACACGTCACATTCAAAGAATACTATAAGTGTACCAAATTTCAAAAAGATCTAATAGTCAGATTAAAAATTAGATATGTTAAAAGATTGGTTATTTTTGCTGTCATGACAGCTGACAGCACCTCCGAACTAACTTCTGGGGTGCACCATTTCATCATCCGACCTCCGATCAGAGCGATTCCAAAGCCCACATGTCACTTTTAAATAGTACTATTATTTTGAAAAGATCTAACAGACAAATTGAATTTCGTGCATGTTACAACATTATTAATTATTGCTCTCATGATAGCACTTTTGCTGTCATGACAGCTCATCCGGACCAAATTTCGGAGTGCGCTATTTTTCTGTCCGATATCCGATCGACGTGATTCCAAAGCCCATACAAAGCTTATAAAAGATTTTACTTATAACCCAAATTTTAGAGAAATCCAATGATCGGATTAAGATTTGGACACCCAGATGCAAAAGTGCAGTTTTTTTAGTAAAAATCATTTTCAAAATTGTCCAAATCTCATCCTAATAGTCACAAACTTGTGGGAACACTTTGGACACGTCAAATAGGACTAAAAACACCTGATAGAACATTTAAATGATAGAAAAACTATTTATACTAAAATTTGACCACCTGGGTGCCATTTCCCAAAATGGACCCTAAACCCCCAAAATGCACAAATCACACAAGAGTGGCTAAAAACTATTATATTATATATACCTATGAATATACATGCTAAACATTTTCACTTGGCTCAGAGATCTCTGTGGGACCCACGCACCCACTCTCTCTATCCAAGGTGTATATTTGCCCATAGCACACTATTTGCAATGCAATCACTTTGCATTTGCTTGTGGAATCACATATATACCAAAATAAATATTTACTTATAGTGAAAACTTGGTCTACTAAATAAATCCATCAAAACCACACACCACAGCCAAGTTTCCTAGCCATAAGTCTACAAGCAAACAAAAATTCATACACAAGCCATACAATCGACACATACTCACACACATATACATAATCATATCCTACTGGCACCCTAATCCTAAATACATTACAATAGATTTGCTCAAAAGAAAGGGGTTGCAGTTCTTTACAATTCACAAATAACCCCTAGCTCTGCTCCTTTCCCGTCCTCCATTGGTTCCTTCGCCTAGACCTAGAAATATTGAAAAGAAAGGGGTAAGACAACCACAATCTCAGTAACAGAGAAATCTATATTGATTATTACAAAGCAAGCCATAATCAAATAAGCAAATAATAAATTCAACATAGTATATAATTTAGCCATTTAAAATACATGAATGCATGACCTAGGCCGGTATGGCCTTTCATGACCAACAGAATGCCCCCTGACACTCTTTAACTCACAGGTAAACCTTATACCTACTTGTACCTCCACAGGCACAAAATATAATCTAAGGCATGATCTAATCCACCGAACCGCCTATGCCCTTTCGATGTGAATCCTGAGCAGTCGAAGCTAACTCCCTCCCAGAGCTAGCCTGACTTACTCTCCATGTGAGGGCTACCTTGGCCTAGGCACTCAACCTCAAACTTCATATGTCGGATTTTGTCCCCCACTGAGAGGTGTCGAACACTTAATACACTAACCACTTTAGTGCATTGAGCCTACAATATGTAAGGCAATACTGAGTACTGGTAGTGTGCCATAGAATATCAAAAGTCCACACCTTCTTATTGGTGAACTCCCACCGAGATTATGCCTTTTATTCTTGTCTACCTTTCTTGAGTATTGATCACTTCAACACTCTAAGATAGTATAACATTTATAAATCTCCCTTAACTGGTTCCTTAGCCTATCTAAGTTACCTTACTTAGTTACACTTCCTTAAGTGCAACTTCTATTCCTTATGATTAAAATACATGTAAACAAATCTTGTTTGCATAAAAACATTGTTGTTGAACAATTAGAAAACATATTTACACTATAATCAAAGTAGTACCCCATAACCCCTTATAAAGCACATTTAATCTTTTAAAACACGTAATGCATGATAGCTAGTAATATTTATTCAAAAATAACTAAAACAAAGTAATAAGAAATATAAATTCCCCTGTTACCTCAACCCTTTGGTACCAAAAGAGTTCCTCTTGCACAAAATAGGACTCGGCTTGTTCCTTAACTTTCAAACAAATTCCACCAACAATCCTTACAACATATAAGTGATCCACATCACTTATCATGACAAATAGCATTAATGAAGACTATAACTCATACTATACAACTTGGGTCAATGAGTCATAATCCACCCTAATGGTCCATATATTAAACCAACAATTCACATAGTATCACTTAACCACCAAAACCATTTATTAGCCATCATTAGGCTAATTTTTAATTTATATAATTTTTAATCAATTAAAAACCTTCACTTAGTGTCACCAACTTTCATTATTAGCCCTTATAATGAAAACCAAACCTTAATTTAAATCTTATTGGGCTCAAATGGCAAAATTATAATTAAATCAATAGACTAAAATTATTGAAGAGCAAAACCCAACCTTTTGGGGTTTGATTTGTGCCCAAAACACCTCTTTTCATCTAATTATTAACTCAAAACATTAGAACACCATATAGAAACTCAAAACATCCTCCCTAGAACCCAAGGAAACTAAAGCTTACAAAAATAAAGCATTTTAGATCAAATTTCAGAAATTTCCTTTTCCAAAATTGAGAAACACAAAGAGGGAGGGAAGAGAATTGCAGTAGAGAGTTTACCTATCACGTAGTCGAGCTCACAACGACCGCAAAGCCTCCTAGATCCGAGCCTAACTCCCTCTCTTTCTCCTTTCTTCTTCCTTTCTCTCTCTTACGTGTTCGTTTCCTTCTTTTCCTTATTTCCTTTTCTGCATTTCTACGTCTGTTTGCTCTTTAAAATGCTGATCTAAAAGTTTGAAAAAAATTACAAGAAAGGGTCTAACATTTTTTTATTATAGCACAAAAGCCCAAGTCAACTTTGGTAATTTTTTTCATAGTTAAAAATCAAATAAAACTAAACTTTTGCTTAGTAAAATTAAAACTCTAGACCTCTATCAAATTATTCTAAATTTTAATTTAATTATAGATATTTTATTTTATTTTTTTAAATAAATCCAAGTCTTAAATTTTTTTTTTTGGATGTTACACTTTAGCCCTCATTAATATCATTGAGCTCTTTAATTGCCATTAATAGGACCACATTGTCCCCAACTAACATTTATGGTGAAATTCATATATTAAATGCTCTCCAACCAATAATCATCATAAACTCATAAATACCAAGTTTTATTAACTCAAACTACTCTCATTAACTCTATTTAAGTCAATAAGTTCAAGCCCATAGCCTATATGGACCAAAAATCATCATCAACCAAACCTTAACTTCCAATACTAAGAAAATGGAAGAAGGTAGGAAGATTTAACTTAGGAAGCTTACCTTTTGTGTTTATGGGCTCCAAAATACTCCCAATACTTGAATTCCTCAAGCCCTAGCAGAGCATTTTTGTCCCTCCTTCGTATTTCTTTGTTTCTCCTTCTTCTGTTGTATCAATTTGCATTCTTATTTTTGCACAAAAGTGTCCATGTGCCATAGTAGATGCATAATGCGCTACGGTGCATGGCATAGAGAGCATCTCCCCAGGCGCGTTAGTAAGCATACGCCGCAACGGCCTAATCCACATGTTGTAGTGCGTGGCATAAAACTTTACCCTTCATTTTTTCTTTGTCTTTTTATTCTCGAGTGACCTAATTTTCCTTCAGACCTACTTTTAAGGCTAAAATCACAACCAAACATGCTCGTTAATCCTCTCTAGCCACACACCTTTCTAATGAACTCAATTTAATCAAGTTCAGACTTAATTAATCTGGTTTAAAGTCGAGGCTATACCATCCTCTCCACCACATAAGATCTAACCCCCTTTCCTTGCTCTCCTCTCCCTTACCTCTTCCTATATACACACATATACCTTTCTCTATCCTTTTCTTTCTTACTCTTCCCTCTCACTACTGCCCCCTATCTTTGCATATTTTGTCAGTCTCACTCTTGCCACATTGCTAGGCCATGGTGTACGGTGAGTAGGTAGGAGTGGCCATGACTAATGACATGGTGATTATTGAGAAGAGAAGTATTAAATGTTAGAGAAGAGAAGCAAGAGGAAGAGGGATTGAAGAGGCATACTAGAGCCAAGGAAGAAGAGCGTCTTTACCGGAGTAGGTATTATGGAAGAGGAGAGGTCTTGGCTAGCCATTTCAGAGCAAGCTCAGCGGTAACAATTGATTTTAGTTGTGATGTTGCTGATTACACTTTGCCCAAATTGAATTTGAGCATGAGTAGTGATTGATCTTGGCAAGAGAGAGATAAAATTGGGGGAGGGATGTTGGAATTGGAGGGAGAAGAAGAACGAAGAAATGGTGAAGGCTAGATGCCTACGTTTCGCAAGAAGAAAGCCCCATAAACTAACCACATCAGCAATACATGAAGAGATCATTTTTGTTTAATGGAAGGGGAAATTTTCTCCTAAGAAAAATAATACAGTGTTAGAAATGCCCTATTTACTTGCATAAGGTACCCAGCTTCCCTCAAAGGAAAATACAGGGATAAAAATGCTTTTTAATCCTAATTTGAAATGTCCAAATTTAATATTAATATTTTTATAAATTAACTATGCATATTTACTTTGAATGGTTTAGATGCAAAACTCTTGACTTGCAAATTTTTTCTTAAAAATATATATATATATTTTTGGAAAGTGCTAGTTAAGAGTTTATTTTAAATTTTAATATTATATTTACCAAAGTAAAATTTTATAAAAAAAATATAAAAAATTAATATTAAATCTTAATTATTTAGAGTACTTCTGAATAGTTAATATATAAAAATTATAAAAACTTTTAGTAAATTGAATCATCCTAATTAAATAGTTACAGTTCATATTGGTGATGAATATATTTATTAAATTTTCTCTTAAATTTTTGCGTTAATAAATATAAAATAAAAATAAAAATAAATACTTAAAATATAGACAAGTTGATAGTACTCATCGGGGTGATAAGCAGAGAAGCTGAACCTGCACCGCACAAGTGAACGAATTTTCAAGCAATAAACAACTACTAAAGAAGGCAAAAGGGGAAAGGGTCATGGAGGAATAATTTGAGAATTAGACATGTAGCGTCCAGATGTGCTGGCTACAACAAATGTCAAAATATAACATCCCTTTATGCAACACATCCCGAAAACAATAAGAAGAAATCCAAAAACAAAAAAAAATGAGTAAATCATTCTATAAACTTCAAGTGTCATAGTGCTATAAATTATGAACTTGTTTATGATATAAATTGTTCTCTCAATTTTTAAAAATGACATAATCGAGTTCTATCATTAATAAAAGTTAATTTTAATTATTAGTTAATTAGAAAAGAACATAAAAATCATAGAAAATGATCAAAACTTTTTGTTGGCCATTTTCTATAATTTTTTTATCCTTATCTATAATTTTTGAATTTTTATTATAATTTTGGGTCATTTTCTATAATTTTGAGATCATTTTTGTTAAATTTTTTGGTCTACTAACAGTCAAAGTTAACTTTTGTTATCAGCATGAGTCAGATTGTACTATTTTTAAAAATTGAGAGAATAATTTATATAATAAATAAGTTTAAAATGTATGGTGCTTTTAGACATAAAATTTAGATGATAATTTGCTCATTTATCTAAAAATAAAATAAACAAAAAGAAAAGGAGAGATGGAGAGATGCATGCTATAATGGAGAGGGCATTGCATCTATGTTGTGATGATGCTTTCTTCTTAGACAATCCAAATTTAATATAGATGTTTCAAATTTAATATTAAATTTTTTTTATAATTTTAATATTAAATTTAGAAAAATATATAATCTTTAGTCCCTATAATTTTATTGAGTTTTACTCTTAGTTCTTGTAGTTTTTTCAGTGTTCTTAATCCTTATGGGGACTAAAAACACTAAAAAATAAAAACTATAAAGACCAAAAAAACAAATATCACCTAATCTTTTTGAGATATAAAGATTGAAAATACTGAAAAAACTTACAAGGACTAAAAGTAAAATTTGATGAAACTATAAGGGCCAAATATTATATTTTTCCTTAAATCTATACAGTTTGTAATATACTTGGATAGTCAATTTATAAAAGTTAATTTTTTTTATTAAATATTATTATCAAGTCGATAGTATAGATTTAATACAGATGGTTTGAATTTAATATTAAAATAAAAAAATTAATATTAAATTTGGACCATCATATTAAATATAGATTGCCCAAATTAGTAATGAAACATGTTTATTAAATTTTTTATAATTTTTTTAATAAATATAAAAAAATAAATAATTCAAATTTGGATTGTTTAAATTAAATCTAGACGGTTTAAATTTATAGTCTCTCATTGGAGGGATTGCAGAGTTAATCCAACTCCCTCCTTCTCATCCTCTTGTGCTATGATCTCCTGCTCTTGATGCTACCACTCATTGATTATATAGATGTAATCAAAAGGGTATTATTATCATTCTAAACTTAATCTATCTTTTTTCCTTTGTTCAAACATGAGAAATTTTTTTTTTTTGAATCAAAGGTGTAACATCCCAATTTAAATTTTAATAGTTAATTTAGGTTAATAGAAATTTTAAAAAATATTTATAAGTAAGCAAATTAATAGAAAATGATTATTAAATCTAACTTAGGATATAATTCTAAATTAAAATTAAAAAATAATAATTAAAAAAATAATAAAAAAATATTATTAAATTATTATTATTATTATAAAAAAAAGAAAAGGTATTAAAAAAAAAAGAAAAGGAAGAAGAAGAAGAAGAACGAGATTACTTTCGGCGGCCGCGTAATGATTACATATAAAATAAAAAAAAGAAAGAAGAGAGAGGAAAGAAGAAATAATAAAAAAAAATATGGGACCCACTGAATTTTTATAAAAACTCACCTGTTTTCTTCGTTTCTTCATTCTTTCCTTCGTGCGTGAGCTGAGGCAGAGAGAGCGTCTGTAACCCAAGTTCCCTGGTGCTGAGTTTTAATGTAAGAGTTTTTAATAGGATATTTAGGGTGTGATTTTAAGCTTTTCAAGACTAAGTAAGTGTTCTAAAAAATTTTTTTAGTCATCCTTCCTCTTTGGTTTCTGATTTTGTGGTGGTAGAAAATTTAGGATCTGGAAGAGGGATAAATTTATGTTGAATAAATATGGTTTATGAGGTTGTTAGTGGTATAATAAATGTTCTAGAGTATAAATTTGTTGATGATCTTTGAATTTGTGACTTATGGATCAAATTCTAAACTAGATCTGAAAATATATGTTAATTTATTGAGGTTTAGATGATTATTTGGGATGAGAAATGAATTATTATGGTTATAGGATTATGATTCTAAGCTAGAGACTCAATTTTTAATTTTTGAATATTTTATGTGTGAATTTATAAAATAAAAAGAAAATTTTGATAATAGAAATTAGTTTAGAAGTTGATTTTTAGATTATTAATGTTTATTAATGAGTAAAAGAGGAGTTAAAAATTTTACTTAATAGTATTGACTCTAGATTTGTATTAAAATTGAGATTAAAAATTATGTTATATTTTTAATTCTATTATTAGAATTATTTTATTAGTTTCAAAAAAATTGAAACTAATATTTATAAATAATATGTTATTTGTAGATTATATTATTGGTGAAGATTGTGGTGAGAGAGAAATTTATAAGGAACAATTTATTGAAAAAGCTACGAGATAACCATGCTTTTAATTTGTGATTAATATTACTTCATGTTAATTGAGTGATTATTAAGAAAATTATGAATTTTGTAATATTGTATAATTGTGCAATATTATTATGAATTTATTTGATTATTGTGGGAGGTGTTGGGAGACTTGCTATTATTGTTGTATTTATGTGCCACGTGGTACGCCCCTATTGGAGCTCAATAGGTGGCTTGTAAAGACTCGGGCTAATCTACCTTTGGCTGGGTAATTTAGCACCGAATGAGGGCTACTGCTCGAGGTTAATGGAGGGATATAAGGATGGTTGTTTGTGTGTATTATAATATTTTTTTATATTTTGTTGGAATTATATTATTTTTAATTCTCACTTAGTAAGTACACACTTAACTATTTGTATACACTATCATAATTTGACTTTGGTTATTGGGACTTTTGAGTCTCATCATGTGGTTAACAATTTTCAGGAGAAGAGCCACGAGTGATACGTGGAGGAGTCCCAGAGGCTTAATGACATAGATCCACTGTCTCTTTTAGGTATTTGATTTATAATTTATAATGTGTTATATTGCCAATATTAGGGCTTTTTGTTTATTGACAATTATATGAATATATAAATATAATCATGCCTTTCAAACTATTTCTATTTTTGATACACTTTGGATGACTGTAATTTTAATATTTGGTTTACTTTGGATTGGTTAAAATGACATGATTATGAGGCCAAATAACTGGCTTGTTTTGAAAATTGACTAAATTATTTATTTTACTTGTTGGGAGTATAAGGATGGACAAATATGATTTAGCCTAATGGCATATGGGAGGTAAAAATTTAGTTAAAATGTTATATTGTGCAAGTTGAAGCCAATTATAAAATATTTTTATATCAAAATGATTGATATAAAATGTGTTGGGTGGCTGTAACCCAACTATAGTTGAGTTAAATTATTTAAAAAAAAATTTTGGTGTGTTACAAAAGGGGTAGGCGATAACAGCATGAGATTACAAGTAGAATTAAACTCATGACCTCTCATTTATAAGAGAGCTTACATGCAACTAGGCTATAAGGCTATTAACTAAAGAGGGAAAAAAATATTATCTCTTCACTTTTCCCTCATTTTCATTTTGTATCTTTTCACTTTTCCTCGCAACTTTTTTCTTGTTGATACAAGCCCAATTATTGAAAGTTTTATTGTGCATTGTCTTCATAGTTAAGGAAACCAAGTTTGGTGCTCTTGGTGATGAGGAGCACCAATTTAAACCATCTAGATTAAAATTGAATTGTCTAAATTTAATACAATTATTTTATATTTTTAATAAATTATTATTTGAATAGGTACTGTATTTTAAATAAAAATATAATTTTTTTGATACATTTTAAAAATTATGAACTTAAAAGACTCAATTTTTTTTTGATAAAGTTAATTTTTTAATAATACTTAATTTAAAATTTATAAATAATAAATATTCAAAAACTAGTTTTTTTTAAAAATACTAACTATTTAATTAAAGCATTTAAGAGTGAATTCAAAATTTTAAAATTTTAACACCATTAACTATGTGTTTTAATTAAAGTTTTAAAAATTAGATTGATTATTAAACCATAAAAGATAGTTTCAAAAATCAATGGTCACACTATAATTAGATAGCTATGACTAATTTAATATATTTCTAATATCTTATCTTAAATATAGTATTAGAGAAAATATCTTATAAAATATAATTTCACAAAATTAATTTTATAGAAATATTTTTAAATAATTTTTAAATTTATTGTTATTAAATATCTTCTTTTTAATTTAGTAAAAATGTTGATATTTTTATGAAAAATATAATTTTAAAAAATTGATAAATATTGTACAATTTTAAAAATTAAAAATAATTGTGAGATGTAATAATTATATAATATATGAGTATTTTAATATATGACGGTGTCATAATATATATAAACAAATTTATGGCACATTTTCCAAATAATTTTAATTTTTGAATGCGTATATTGTGTAGATATATCATATATGTAGAAAATAAAGTTTAGATTAAAGATATAATTTAAATTTTTGAAAAATAAAAAAAAAAGAAATTCTAACCAGTTTTAACAAGTTTTTAGTTCACTAGTTTTCAACTAATTTGACCAATTTTAATTTGAACGAACTAGTTCAATCTGATTGCCAATTTACCCCTGTAATGGATTAGGCTAATTCCTTGTACAACTGGTTGAACTAGTAAATCCAATGTAGCTTTTCAGACCATGCCTGCAATGCTCTTAACAAGAATTTATGCCAAATCAAGCTCGGTATTATGTTTTATAGACATCAAAGATTTCAATTTTCAATGGTCCCGTTTTCCCTTTTCGCGGTAAATGATTTCGCAATAAATGAAGTTTCGAACCCAGTTAACTGATAAACGATTTCGATTCTCAACGGTCCATTTTTTTCATCTACAAGGCATGCGGCAATTTTAAGTTTTAAACCTAGTTAACTGGAATTGAAATTGAACCGACTCATTTACTGGATGATATTATCGGCTCTAGTTTTCCCTTCCTAAGCCTGAGTATGCTACATCATCACAGCGGCTGCTGCTCCGCCTCCGCTGGCGAAGACGAAAGCCGGAAGTGAGGCTTCGGTCTTGACCATGCTTTAGGGTTCAAACAATTCGATTCGAATGGCGTTGGAAGTAGCTCAATTCAAATTACTGTAAGTCTCGAATTTCTAAGTTGTGTTTCATGGTCCCTGATTTTTTAGTACTGCAATTTTGATTAGGCGACGAAACGTTTGGGTTTTAAGGAGTCGTCAACAAAGTGTCTCAAGTTTAGTCGATTGCATCGTGAAGCTGTAGGCTTTTAGCACGTCTCGTAGATATGTTGCTCGTTATAAATTTGCTCGTGTTACAGTGTAGCTTTGCTAGAAACTTATATTGTTCATCGGTTTTGTTGTGGGTTCAATAAATCAATAGTGTATATATATGTGAGGATTGGGATAAAACTGAGACATGCATTGAGGTTGAATACCAGAAAAAAGTGAAATGTAACTTTCTATTCTTTCTTTCTATTCCCCCCTTATATTTAAATATGTTGTTTTGCTTGAATATATTAGTTTTGGTAATGCCTTTAAACTAGCTTTCTCAGTTATTCTTATACATTTGAGTCAGTATGGTAAGATTCCTTTGACTCAACGTTTTTGTAATGTCTGATATAGAAGCTTATTGACTCTCACTGTCTTGAAAGTTAACATCCACTAATTTGTGGTGTTTGTTGAAATCATATCAGGATTGAATCGTGCAATTTTGTTCACATGTCCCTATCTTATTTAACTTGCGACTTAACACCAGATCCTTATTACAAGGAATGAAGGTATTCTTTTCTTCTTCTCCTTCTCTTTTTCTTGTTCTATCTGTCCATTGGAATAAATTTTGGTTATTTACTTCTCATCCATTCGTGTCGTTTGTCTTAGAGTGCGTCTATAATAATTGGCTAGCAATTTTGCTCTTTACAATTTCCTCCTCGTTGTTCACTTGCTTCCACCCTTCCTGAGAGGTGGAAAGATTATTTTTTTTAAAAAATAAAAATAAAATTTCTGGCCATCAAGATTGGTTTATTTGGTGGTACTGGTGTTGGAAATTGTGCTTATTATGGAAGTTATAAATGACGTTTTTGGGGCTCAGGGGCTCTTCTGTTTTCTAATCACTCATTTTAACAATACTTAACTAATGTAACAATTCAAAATTTGCATAAAAGGAATAGACGTCATTGCAGAATAATAGTATTTTTCTCTTAAAAGTTCTCCTGTATGCAACCTATTGTTTGAAAACTTAGGAGAGAATCTTGTTATTGGATATGAATGTTGAAGTGTGAGATCTTCCCCAACTTTATTTTGTTTTTTGTTGGTTCCTGGTGTTGACTTTCAATTTAAATTAAACAATCTTCAAGTCTAAAAGTAATAAATAAATATATTTTTTAAATCCTTTGAAGGTTATGCTGCTGTTATTGTTTGCCATATGATATGACAGTTACTTGGATGTTGTTGTGGCCCTTAATTTTGAACACGGATTATTTTGGTAAATATAATTTTTCTATAACATTTTGCTCAAATTTCTGGAAAGACTCGGCTTCTCTGTGTTCTATAAAGTAAAATAAAATTCCTGATCAACAGTGTGTAGTTAGACTGGAGAATAGTTAAAATGGGGAAGGGGGGAAAAAAGAAGGCTTCGCTTTTTAAGCCTTGTATAGTTAGACCGGAGAAATGAATAGTTAAAATGGAAAGGGAAAAAAAAAAAAGCTTTAGATTCTGATGTTTATCAGCTGAAATGAAGGTTGAGATAGATTCCCACGCTACCATACCAGAAAACATAGAGGACAGGGAAATGCCTTTCTTTGAGCAAAGAAGCTCAAAGCTACAGAGGCATGTGAATATACAGTGTTTCTCCTTTATTAGTTTCAGCATTCCTTCACATCTGTTGGTTTTTTTTATATGACATGCTTAATTCCTGTACAACTAATTTAGTATGCCTATTCTCTTTTCACAGCTTCCTTGCACTGCTTCATTTCTTGTTGTTTGCTACCACTCTGGTATATTTTACTTGATTTTGCTTCAGATTTTTTGAACGAGATTCACACACACATGTATATTGGATATATTCACAACAAGAGATGAAAAAGTGATTGCAAGCTGATGGCCCTCACTGTAAGTAATAAAGTTCTTTTTAGTTTACATATCCACTATTTTTTCTCCAGATTGGTACCCATTGTGTGGAAGCAACTCTTATTACATATTATGCTCCTTTCATGCTTTATGTTTATGTTGTTTATACATGTTAAAAAACACAAATACACACCTGGTAAGTATGTATTGAAAGTTGTCCTTTTTAAAATCTTCCTTCGTATATAATACAGGACAATCATGTTCTGAGAAGCTTATGAGCTTCAGCCTCTTGCTTTTCGCAAAGTGATCGTTTACAACATTTTGTTAAGATTCAGATGATGATGTGAGAAAGCCTTTTCTTTTTCCTTTTGTAAGCTTATAAATTAGAATATTCATTGGGGATTAATAATTTAGAAAATTAATTAGCTTGCATTTGTTTGTTTTTACTTATTTGGATTGGGATTGGTCCCTTTTTGGTTTTTTTCATGAATTATATTCAGCATTATTCTATAGGCTTGGTTCGGACATATTCCAATTAATTTATTCACAATAATTGCTGTTGATTGGTTCTAGTTTTTGGTATGAAACTCAAAAAGCAAAGGAGAGAAGCCTACTCTAAATTTAGTGGGGGCTAATAAGGTTAGGTTTCTTTTATCTTACAGTTATACTTTTACTAGGACTAAATATCATCTTCTTAGCCTCTAAAATAACTGTAGTTCTTGAATAAGTATCTAACTATTGTAATTATTTCAATCAATATTTAATGTAAAATATAAAAAGCATAAAAAGCTATCAAAATCAACAAAAAGTCTGAGTTATTTGAGTTCTGCTATTGCCCTAAGACTGCTAAATTGTGAGTTATTATATAACTTAGATCATTGTCATTGTATTAAACGAGTTAGATGGATGATTTTGTTGTTTTGTTGGAATATTTTAGTTTAATTGACGCAAGCCTTTACATTTATTCTTTATCTGCTTGGATCAGCATTGTAAGATTCCTTTCTCACTCAATGACTCTACTGTTTGATATCGAATACTATTCATTTTACCTTTTAAAGTTGTTCTCTATTTTTTTGATATTGAATCCTATTTATTCCTATCTTTTAAAGTTAACGTCTACTAAGTTATACCTTCTAAAAATAGCATTATGCATTGTCCATTTAGTGGTTGGATCCTGAATTTAGTTATGTTATCTTGAAATGCATTATGCATGAAAGGTCTCACATTAGTAATTACTTGAAGATTTCCGTTATTGGCATATGGATGGTTTCATGTTGGCACTTCTATCTTTGATAGCTTCTCTTCTTCCTTCATTCTCAATAACATTCCTTCCTCACAACATCTCTGTGATGTTTGATAATGAATCCTATTTATTCTTTTTGTAAATATGTATTTGATTTTCTCATTTTTAAAATTTTCCTTCTTTTGTACATGCGATAACTATAATTTTATAATATGGGATAATCACACCTTAAGAAGCTTAAACTTACATCATAGAATTAACTTATTTCCTTTAATCTATACTTCATTCTTGTATACTTCAAATTACATGCCCTTGGCATTTTGTTTGGTTGGTCTTTTGTGAAGCAATTTGGCACTTTCATGCCAAGTTTGGGTAGAAAGATGACCATATTGTAGTTTATTTTATCTAGCTAGTCTATTCAGTGCTTGCACGTAGAATATTATTGTGTTATTTTTCCTGGTTAGGTTTGATTCAATGTTCATGATGGATCTCTATTTGTTGATTTCGTTGAAATATTGGAATCCTTTAACCTACCTTTTTTACTTAGTCGTTTAGATGGTTATTATTATTTTTTTTCAACAAATAGGTTCCTACTGGAAGGTGACCTTGTGCCTTTATCAGGAGAAGAATGTTGTGACTTGCTTAATTGTGCATCTCTTTGTACCTACGATTAGTTTTAGGATTTACTTTGCTGTAAGTTTTTCATGTTTTTCTTTTGCTTCTTGCTCCCACAAATAAGTAGGTGTTATGAAAATGTGCTCTGTTGGCTTTGGTTTTAGTTGTAACCGTTGAATCTTGTAGAGATTGAATTTCTTTCTTTTCAAGATTAGAATCCTTTAACCTATATTTTCTATCTAGTTGTTTAGATGGTTATTATTTTTAAAACAAATAGGTTCCTATTGGAAGGTGAACTTGTGCATTTATTAGGACAAGAATGTTGTAACTTTCTCAACCATGAATCTCTTTGTACCCACAATTAGTTTTAGGATTCTCTTTGCTGTAAGTTTTTCATTTTTTTTTTCTTTCGCTCCTTGCTCCCACACTAATAAGTGTGGCATGGAAATGTGCTCAGTAGCTTTCGGTTTTATTTGTAGCCATTGAATCTTGTAGAGATCGAATTGCTTTCTGCACTTTGAATTGTTCTATAGGGTATTTATTCTGGTACTGCTAAAGCTTTAGATTTTACATGTTAGCTTCAAAATGTTGTTCTACCATACTGTAATTTGACTTTCAAAATGGATCTATGTAGAGTTTGGGTAGAAAGATGACTAAATTTTAGTTTATTCTATTTTGCATGTCCATTTAATGAAACTCTTACAATATTATTATGTTACTTTGCCTGGTTAGGATTGATCCCATTTTCTTGATAGGTCTCTTCTTTCATTGATTTTTTTTTTTTTTTGTTCTGGTGAGAAAACAAGGCCAAAGGTCTTCTTTCATTGATTTCATTTCAAGATTGGAATCCTTTATCCTAGCCTTTTATTTTGTCGTTTAGATGGTTATTATTTTTCGAACATGTAGTTTCGTCGTATTGGATGGTGACCTTGTGCCTTCATCAAACAAAGAATGATGTGACTTGCTCAACTATGCTTCTCTTTGAATCCAGCTTCTCTTTGAATCCATGATTAGTTTTAGGATTTTCTTTGCTTTATTTTTCATAATTTTCTTTTTCTCCTTGCTCCCACAAATATGTACGAGTGTTCTGAATATGTGCTCTGTTGCTTTTGGTTTTATTTGAAACCATCGATTGAATTTCATTCTTTGCTTTATTTTTCATATTTTTCATTTTCTCCTTGCTCCCACAAATATATACGAGTGTTTTCAATATGTTCTCTGTTGCTTTTGGTTTTATTTGAAACCATTAAATCTTGTGGAGATTGAATTGTGTTTTGCACTTCGAATTGTCTTGTAGGATGATATATTCTAGTACTTTTTAAGCTTTATATTTTACATATGTTAGCTTCAAAATGTTGTTCAGCCTTATTGTAATTTGATTTTCAAAATGGATTCGTTTAAATTCTAATCAAAATGGGTTCGGGTAGAAATATGATTAAATTATAGTTTATTCTATCTTGCTAGTCTATTCAGTGTTTGCACTTACAATATTATTATGTTGAATTCCCTTGTTAGGCTTGATTCAATATTCTTAATGGGTTTGTCTATTCATTGATTTCTGTTTCAAGATTGGAATCGTTTAACCTACCTTGTTTTTTAGTCGTTTAGATGGATTTGCCTGATACAAAGGCATTAGAAGGTGTGCTTTGAAAATTGTAGACATGATGATCACGACGATGCTATTGCCAAGAATCCCAAATCCTTGCATGGTTGAATTTTGACCAGATGCTGGCGGTTCCATTTGAGAGCATGAGGTTACTGTCATCGTGGTTGAGGGTTTCGGAGTCTATGGGCAAGCCATTATTGATGGACCAAATGAGTCGGAGTACACGATGATAGCAGTGAAGGTAGGAGAAGAAATTTGGCACTGTAGCCTAGTCATCTGCATTCCATGAATTTGAGTATATCCTCATTGGCTGGTTCTTTAGGAATGGCACACCAATGGACATGCACTCCTCAATGCTTAGCTTCCTGTTCCTTCATGCCTTCTATATTAATAAGCTTGTGCAAAGGTGAGCCATATGGATAGGGAGAGATATAGAGAGAGAAGGGAGAGAGATGCATTCGTGTGTGTGGGAGAGAAAGAGAAGTGAGAAACCATGCAGCTCATCGAGGCTCATCGACACAGTGATCAGAGGTGGAGCTTGGAGAGAGAGAAGGAGAGATGTTAGGGAGGAGAGAGTTAGTTGGTGAGGTGTAAAAAAAAATAATAAAAAAAAATATAAAGTGGATCTCATCATTATATTTTATTATTAAAAACGGAAAGATCAACAAATTGCGGGACATAATTGACTTAGAATTGAGTTTAGGGTTTCCAGTAATATTTCAAGTAAAGTTAAGAAATAAAAATGATCCTTAACTTTTATTTTTATAACATATAGGTTCATATTGGAAGGTGACCTTATTTTTATCAAGACAAGAATGGTGTGACTTGCTTAACAATGCATCTCTTTTGACCCACAATTAGTTTTTAGGTTTTGTTTGCTGTAAGTTTTTCATGTTTTTCTTTGCTCCTTACTCCCACAAATAATTAAGAGTGTTATAATAATGTGCTTTTGGTTTTAGTTGTAATCATTGAATCTTGTGGAGATCGAATTTTCATTGGTTCTTTTTGACAGTTTGGTGCATCTTAATTCTCATTCTAATTCACCATGTTGTCTCTGACATTTTCGTAGTTATATACTTTGCTTGGCATCATTCTTTATCCTCTATATATCACTACAAAGTTTTGTTTTGTCCTTTAGGGGACAAATTTTCTATAAAAACTTTATGTCAAGACAGTATAATTGATGATTGACTTTAGAAGTGAACGAAATAAGTAGATATGATTATTCTTTAACTTCTGTATCAACCTTTTTTTGGTTGTACTTGTAGAGTCTTCTCGGTACAGTACAACTGTACAAGTATAAATGCATATTGCACCTTGTTGTGGTAGAAAATACTCTATATGTTAACATCCCCTCTCTGCTTTTTCCTTTTGGAGATCTTACATGAGACTTGACATCATATACCGAAATCCAAATTTTGTTATTAATCCATTGGAATTCCTGCTAAATGTTCTTTCCTAATCCATACTAAACCTTTCAATACTGGTATTCTTTTTTCTTTTATTAGTCTATATATGATTGTTAGGGTGGAGGGTTCTTCATGCTGGGTTCTTTTATCTTTTATTAGTTTATTTGCTATTTTTATTTTCTTTATCATTGATTAGTTTAGGGACATAATACGTGTTAATCAAGCTGTGAGAGTAGTTAGAATTTTTATGTTTATTTTCTTTATCATAGAATTGTAAGAGTAGTTAGAATTTTACCGTAGTATAGTGTATTTTAAATCTAGATTTTGACCATTCAAAGAACATGGCGATGTTAATCAAGCTGGGAACAAATCTCAAAGGGTATCCATCCAAAGAAAGCAATTGAAGTGGAACCTTGGTATTGTCTAATTTTCTAGTTTTCCTAAACTTAATGTAAAATTTTTTAATACTATGCAATTTCCTATGCATGCACGAGTTCGTCCATCATGAACTTTTTTTTTTTTCCTTTTCGTAAAATGCCATGTGTCAATTTTCCCATTCTATGTCTCTTTGGTGCATAGTGCATTCACGTATTAGACATTTTTTATGTTTGACAGGGATTCGTGGTACTGGCTTGGGAGGGTAAAATTTTAACCAATAATGGTATGATTGGGGGTATCAATTGAAAAATGCTTTGGTGGTGAGATTCAATCCTTCTTCATGACAAGCATTACAGCTAGCCACCTCCTTCTTCATGACAATCATGACAAGCTTCATGATGGACGGAATCCAAATCCTTGCTGTAAATGGTTGACGGAATCCTTGCTGACTTAGCCACCTCCTAACAACATCAAAGGAGCTTTTGCAAATGCAGTGAATGTTTATTTTAAATTTTATCATTTTATCTTCCCAACTCCATTAAAGGAAATTCAAAAACAATACCTCACTCTTTTATTCTTGGTTTCTTGTGTCGTTGTCACTTTCCTTGAGACTTAATTCTTGTTTTCTTTATTTCATCCAAATCAGTACAAAAATTGTCACTTTCCTTTAGATTTAATTCATGTTTTTTTTTTTTAAATTTCATCCAAACTAATACTTATATTCCAATTCCAATTTTAAATACTTATATTTTATTAAAATTATATCAGGATTCCATCATCATACCAAACACACTTTTAAATCCAAATCTATTCCAATTCCAATTCCGATTTCAATTTCAATTCCGATTCCATTAAAAACTCTTTCATCGTATCAAACATGGCATAACATGTGGCGTTGCTTTCAAATTTAGGTAGGAGCCCATTCTCTTAATTCAATAGAAACCTTAGGGAGCTTAGGTTTTATGATAATAATGGAATTAAAGTAGTCTCCTCTGATAGTAAGGGTCCCAAAAGCAAATAAGGAACAGGACTCTTAAAGAGCAACAAGGCAAAAATGAGGTGGGGGTTTCCTTGTTCAAATTGATAAGATTTCATAATACTGACATTGCTCCCATATTGAAATGAAATGAGGATGAAAATGAGCAACATTTGGCTCTCTCTCACTAGAGTAAAGTGAGCAAGTTCTGTGAGTGAGAAAACAAAGAAAAGTTCTATGACATAAGCAATCACACAAGAATGGAGTATATGTGAAAGAGTGTCTACCAAGATTGAGAAAGTTGAGTGTGTCAAGGAGAACCTCAAATGATAAGTTATCTTCTCATATTTTCACACTTTTTCTCTCTCCTTCACATGGCTTGTCCAATTTGGAACTAACTAATTTAGATGTTCTCCTACTTAAATATATATCAACAATTGGTATCAGAGTTGAATTAAAGCAGGCTATCAAGGGTCAGCTAGGTTGCTCGGGATTGGTCATTATTGATTGAGTGTTTCATTGTGGGTTGTTAAAGTCAAGATTTTCTTGCAATTGTGCTAGTGTGAAGTTTGGGATGGTGAAGCCATTGGTCAAGGACTTGACTTGCTTGGTGAAGTGCCGGGCATTTTCAAATCACCATGGTAAAGAAGTTATTGAGAAGTGTTGGGCATTAAGGACCATAGGTATTGAGAAGATAAATAATAATTATATGTCCTAATTAATGTACTTGTATTCAATTTTATTCGGCAAGATATTGTTGGTGGCCATCAACAACTCCTTAAATGGAAAGTGATTGGAAAGCAATGTACATCTTGTTTTTACAAAACACGAAGCCTCTAAAAGAAGCCTGAGACTTACTCACACCACTACTCTCAAAAGAACCAACAATGTAAAGCTTCAAATTGAGAATGAGTTGATGGCAGTCTTATAGCGAGATGTGTCGGTAAGTTAGTACTTGAGAAAAGTAAAAACCCTATATGATGAGATTTCAAAATTAGATATAGAAAAACATAAAAATAAAATCTTAGAACAAAGAATGGCATAGATCATAATAAATTACCTATGGCTTGAATTCAATAAACAATATCCTCCTTATCATAGGGAATAAAATGAGGGTAAGCTCTCATGCAACTTGAGAAATGGCACGAGATGAACAAAATTCACTAAAACAAAACAAAAATTTGAAACTAAAAAATGCAATGCAGGCAATCATAGGAATAAAAGACTTACAATGTATATATCAACAAAATAGCCCACCTAAACTAGTCTATTTAGACTAGAAAAGAGTAACCGGCCATGCTAGAAGACATTAATGGAAGGTTGTGTTGAGGGAGGGTGGTAGCCAGGTCCAATGGCCACAACCAATCATCCTCAAAACTTGAAGCTTTGACTATAGAATGACCCTTTATCGTAGAGCACCTATTCTCCACAGTTAAGTGTGAATAGCTACAAATCTATTAGGGAAGTAGGATTCAAATTCAAAATAGAGTGTCAGTGCCCACCCATATGAATAACAATGAGCACATAATAAAAGCTCTCTCTAAACATCTTAACATAAGGAGCGTGGCGCTCTAAAGAAAACACCTAAGTATGCTGATAAAGAATTTTTTTGGCATGCCTAGTGGAACTTGCTTGCCAAAGCCATATCAAGAAATGCCCATTCAACAAAATTTGATGATAAAGACAATGCGCAATGCTTTCAAGTTCATCCTAAGGATGAAAGGGAGGTAAGATTCCTAGAACATGATGTGTCAACTCACTTGAACCTAGATGAGCCTTTATCTAATTTTCATGCTAAGCCACTAACCAGGGAGAGGATTTCCCTAAGTAGCCTTTAGGAGAACCTTAGAGTGGCAAGTTGAGCAAATTAAGAAGACCTTTGAGGACTCCGCAAGATGTTATGAATAAGAGAATAGGAAGAAAGTAGACAAAGAAGTAACATTTCATGATTGACAGATGTAGAAGGCAAATGAGGGACAAGAATAAAAGAGGCATGCAGAATTGTGCTAAGTGATAAAAGAGATCCTGCAATCCTTAGCCAATCATTTTGTGATCCATACAACACTCCATGTAGGAATCTTCTCTGTAGGGGTATGGGGAACCCTTAAGATCTAAATAGTATATTAGGCTATTGCCATTAGTTGATGGATGATACACTCTGCCCTGTCAGTGAGGATCAGTAGGCTAGAATGGTTGCTCCAATATGAAAATCATCAGCAGTCTACAGTAGGCTTATGAAAATGATCATGTGCAAGGGAACAAAAGGCTTGGGGGAGTAATATTTTGACAATTAGAAATAAAACAAATAGCTATAAAAGAACGGAACCACCCTTGGTGGACTTAGAGGGTGCTAAGGAAGCAGTTAGAGAGTTATACGGACCTGGTCTAAGGGCCTCTTTCTAAGACTAGTTGTCAAAATTTCTAAAAGAGAAATAAATGAAAAATATCTAAGTACTTCCCAACGATGTTGGGTGAGCCATTAAGTTTAAAATATATTCGAAGTTTTAGCCCTGTGGCTTAGCAAAAGTCAAACAACCATAATTGTTGAACAAACAATGAAGTTAAAACAAGCTCTACCTATATTCAAGTTCCACTACCATACTTCCTCTTTCTTCCATCGCCTTCTCCAACTTAGTATTGATCTATCTACTTGAAAATAGAAGTGAAAAACTCTTGATGATGATGGTCAAGAGCACTCTCCATAGCTCCAGCTAGCTTGTTATAACATTGTGATGTGGAGTTTAATATAGAGTCACATATTGACATCGTTCTACATATAAAGCTAGCTAAGACAAAAGAGAGATTTCCCCATTTTGTAGACCATGCTCTCTTTCTTTAAATGCTCTTCCTTTGCAAAAGTTTCTCGATCAAATGCCTTGGCCTTTCCCATTGCCTCTAGTAATTGGTCTCGTCACATCTTGCAACTCATTAGCCAATCTACCCTATCATATAATTGATCTTAGTTGATAACAACTAGAACCACTTAAAGCTGATCTTATCAAGTTCTAGTAAACCAGGATGATTTGGGAAGTCCACGTGGAGAGGTCTCGAAAGATAAGAGCATGACCCTTTGGAGTGTTGTGCTATGATGATGAGTAGTTAAAGCTTGAGTAGTGCCCAAATCCTATGGGTTGTTGCTTAGATATTGGCAACTAAGATATACGGGTGGTTAGAGGATTAGACCTTAAAAATTCTAAGCATGAGAAGTCCATAGGGGTTGTTGAGTTGGATGAATTATCCAAAGATTCTTGCATGTAGAATGTCACATAAGGATTCTAGTCACTCAATTAAAAAAATACATTGTAAACAGGCCAACAAAACTAATTGGAGTAGAGAACTTACACACAAGAGCTTTTTGTGACTACAACCTGCACACCCGAAGTAAGATCTTTTTGTGATTAGGCATTATGATATACTTGAAGTGATGAGGTTTGGACGAAACTAGTATGGGTAGGGAGAGTGGAGGTCTTGAAGGGGGAAGTGAGCTAAAATGTCTTAATATCAAGAGTCTTCTTTTTGGGTGCTTTTGTGGCTCCTCCTAGCTAAACCAAAGAGCTTCATGACTTGCGATGGTGCTACAAAGGCAAATTGTAACATCTTGAATTTTAATAGATTAGTAATTAGTGGATTAATTGGAATAGAGAACTTTCACACAAGAGCTTTTTGTGATTACAACCTACACACCCCAAGTAAGAGCTTTTTACGATTAGGAATATGATATACATGAAGTGATAAGGTTTAGATGAAACTAGTATGGGCAATAGAGACAATGGCTAGGAATGCAACTTGTTGGGTTGTGGCAGGAAGAGTGGAGGTCTTGAAGGGGGAAGTGAGCTAAAATGTCTTGATATCAAGATCCTTCTTTTTGGGTGCTTTCGTGGCTCCTCTTAGCTTAAAACGAAAAGCTTGATGACTTATGATGGTGCTATAAAAGCAAATTATAACATCTTGAATTTCAATCTAGAAAACTAGTTAATAATTAGGGATAGATTAGTAATCAATGGGTTAATTATGGTTTGGATGTTGAGTTATTGTTTTATGTTAGTTGGTTGTTATGTTAATAGGATTAAAGGGTAAAACGACAATCCGGAATGTAATGCACATGCAATAGTGAGAATTGTCTCACTGTGCCATGTGCATGGTATAGAATTTTGATAAATTAGGTCGTGCCAGCTCGTGAAATCAGAAGGGTATATCAAAAAAATGTGTGCTAGGGCATTCATTCAGGTAAGTATCGTACAACCTTGAGCTATATTTCTACCCAAATTTCTTTAAGTTTGATCGGTAGAGTGAATTAGGAAGTTTTAAGGAATTAGAATATAAGGAAAAGGTTTAACAAGAACTTTCAAACGTGAAACTAAAGTTTTGTGACTATTCTAAATTTACAAGGACATATGTTTCACTTCGTTACTTTTATACATAGGTGAAGAGAGCACAAGAAAGCTAGAAAAGAATAGCCTCAATTAGTAGTGATATGACCATTTTTTATAATGAATGTACATTATCATTGTGAAAGAATGCATGAGTATATTATCATTGTGAAATATCTCTTGTGACTTATTGTTTTATAAATTCATGTTGTTTTATCTTGTTTATCATAATTTTGCTTGCTAATCGGTATTTAGGGTTATATCCAAGTTACAGGCATATATGTTTCACTTTTATACACAGGTGAAGAGAGCACGGGAAAGCCA